AGATGAAAAAATGTAATGCGAATCGAAATATTTTTTTTTTTAAAAATGTTATTGATAACAGATACAAACTTTTGGAACGTGCAGTCACAACGCTAAGGTTGATTTTTTTTTTTTAAATTTAAGAGAGGGCTTTTTGTACTAATATGGTAATTTGAGAATTTTTTGTTGTAGGAGTTTATCAGTCAATGTGACATGTACTAAATAGTACAAGAAATAGAGTAATGTTTCAGTTGTTATCCTGAAAATTTGCACGTCGAACCAGTTCTTTTAAATCAAATATATGGTGCAGTTCAATTTATATTACAATGAATCATTCATACAAAAAGGAAATTAGTAAAGTTAATGATATGAAATGGCGAAATCCCTTCACTAACAAAAAGATGCATTAACCTACTAATCATCAGAATGACTGAACCTACTTTTCTAAAGAACGCCATTTCTCCATTGATCATCGTCCGACAATGTGCACGGATATGAATCTTCAGCCCAGCCTCTGTCTTGCATGATCGTATACAGGTGTAACTGCCCATCTCTCTAGGTTATCGGCTGAAATACATTCTGGCATATTTTACAATGTCTGGTCAAACATACTAAGCCATATGTAGGAAAGATATGCTGCGGTGGACATGGTGGCAAAGCTTTCATGCAAGCCACTTCATGTGACAGTTTATCAAACCTACTCTTGAGAGAAGTACCCACATATGAGTGCCTGTGTGTTTACATATATATATATATATATATATATATAGAGAGAGAGAGAGAGGAGGGGAGAGAGAGAAAGAGAGATGGGGAAGGAGAGTAAAGAAACCATATATATATATATATATGTGTGTGTGTGTGTGTGTGTGTGTGTGTGTGTGTGTGTGTGTGTGTGTGTGTGTGTGTGTGTGTGTGTGTGTTTGCAACAAAAAAAATTATACACAATAAATTGCTAGATCTATTGCTAGGAAATTTGGTTCAGTGTGTTGTGCTAGACAATTTTTCTCGCCAGAATCTTTATTTATTTACATATTTTTAAGTCTACCTTTCGAATATTGCTCCCACATATACTCTGGTGCCCTTGCTATAGATTTAGATATTCTTCATAAAATCCAAAGAAGGATCCTGACCTGTCCTCTCGGCTTCAGTCACTTTCCCACCGCTTTCCTGTACCTTTTTTTACAAATACTTTCATGATAATTCTTCCGATGAACTTTCTTCCATGGTACCTAGAATCTATGAATTTAAGCGCGTTACTAGATCGGCAGCAAGATCTCATCATTTTACAGTTGAAATTATTAAATGTAACCGTAAGTTCTATGCTAACTGTTTCTTTTTTCGCACTTCTCGATAGTTCAACTCTCTTCCGGCTTCTTGCTTTCGAGTCAAGTTTGATCATCAGAAATTTAAATGCAATATCAATCGTTATTTTCTGTTTTAATTTCTATTTTTTTATTGCTTTTTCACACTCAGTAACCCCACCACTCACCTGCGTCTTAGTGGCTTTGTTGCCTTGGTTGGGGTGAAGCAGAACGTCGTACGTGTTTCTTAATTATAACTGAGCTTTAAGGGAGATAAACTATTATATTCAAAACCTACAGGATAAATGTTCTTCACTGATTAAGAAGTTCTTGCTCTTCACATGAAATATCAATATAAAACATAATTTTAAAAGGGCGTCCCTGATTTGTAATTGGGAATACTTAATTTACACACGTCCTTAGAAAAAAAAGAAAAGAGTACTGAACTCTTACGTGATATCTGTCTTCTGATATGGCAGCGAATGCTGAACAATCACCTCAAAGATGAAGAAGAATCTTAAAGCAACAGAAGTGTGGTTCTACAGAAAGATGCTGAGGATACCATGGACCGAACATGTGAGCAACAACGAGGTTTTGTAGGGAATAGAAACAAAAAGGAAACTTATAATTAACATCCGGAAGAGGCAGTTAAGGCAGGAGGGCTTGGAAAATCTGATACTCACAGGACAGATTAAGGGGCAGATGAAAGCAGTGCGTAACAGAGTTGATTAACTTGAACAATTGGATAGCAGAACAGGGTTTAAGAGAAATAACAAAAAGACAAAATTTATTAAGCGCTACAAGGGACAGGAAGATGTGGAGAGCCATCATCACCTACGTCCTGAAAGGACAAGGCACATAAAAAAGAGTGTAAATCAAACAATTTTATCCTTCAATTGAAATAGCGATTTCTAAGTGAGAACTGACGTCTTCAAATATTTATAAATAATCGTATTTAATCACTTTTTTCTAAATATGTATTTTCCCTCATTTCAAAATGGCGCTGAAAATATAATTGCTTCATTCATTTCTTGTCTATTCTTTTTCTGTTCCTTCGTTTCTCACAAGCTTCAAATCACGGAAAGAGTGTAAATCGAGATGTCACTGAAAACCTAATAGCCAAACAAAAGTACAACAGACATCAAAAAACTTCGCAGTCGCTGTCTTTTACTGTACACTCAAATAGCATAAAGAATCTTTTGAGGCCAGGAGCCTTCTTAAATTTTGCAGTTTCTATGTTGCTATAAAACCTGCCTCCTAAATGCATCTTATTGTAAAGCTAGGCGGAGGTGTTGCATTGACCGCTCTAGAAGCGATCTATGCAAGCGGCAGTATATGACGGTCGGGCAATCGATCGGTTTGGATAGCCTGAAGAGAACGCATCTTTTTCTGCTTCTGTCGGCGCTGAGGTTGGGCGGATCGCTAGTTTCGCTCACTGCTGAGCGTCGGCTCGATTAAAACGCGGCCGAGACGAGGCGGCAAAATGCGCGCGAAACGCTATGCTAAATCGTTGGTGGTAGTTGTAAATTAAGTTAAATACACTAAATCGGCAAAGGAAAGTTCCGGAATCGGCCGGAGTTAACCGAAATATCCGGAACCGAGATAAAGTGGTTTAAGAGGGGGAAAAGGTTCTTGTTTAAAGATGCGATTGACATTGCATCAAGTCACGGTTCAGTTACATATGTAGAAAAATTAGATCGGCTGAATGGTTGATAAATCGATAAGTAGAACTGAAATAGAGATAAATGAACAGATATATACCCAAAATTTCGAGCAGCTTAATACACAAAATGGCATCCTAAAAAAAAAAGAAAGAAAGAAAAGGTTGAAAATGCCGTTCTTTATTTTCCGAAGATGTGTCAAATTTCCGATAAGACGAATGAAACGATGGATATCTTTTACCAGAACAGTGACCATTCCATTAAAATTAATGCTACTGCTGGTTGGCATCTCGTAAATCTATGCATACCTACATATCTACTCACAAACAACAAACACAGAGAGAGTGAGAGAGTGTGAGAGACTCTGTTGCTCCGAAAGCAATGGCTCCTATTTTATATTTAACCAGAACGTCAAAAGTGAATGTTGTTGGGTGGTAATTACGTGTTCTTTTTTTTTTTCTGACATATACCGTGACTAAGCGGCAATTAGGTAAATATGGATATAAATGCATATATAAAAACTCATATTTTGCTGCACCCACCTACATATAATTACAAACACGTGCACATCTTTCTTTAGAGAGAGAGAGAGAGAGAGAGAGAGAGTGTGTGTGTGTGTGTGTGTGTGTTTGCATGTGTGAAATTGACTGAGAGAAGATTTGATTCCTTAATAATTGTTAGATAAAGCAGAATGCAATATATATATATATATATATATATATATATATATAAGCAGTCATGTCGAATGATCAAGTGATACTAATTTCATTACTATGAAATTAAATTTCGTACAATAATTCCTATTTTCATGGTTAAATCAATTCATGACACAAACATACACACGCAATTTCAACACATTTCCCGCGCATTTTAACGCCACGCCATTTTTTATGACATCGACAATGTTTCCGATTGTTTCGACGGTTAGACTTTCACATACTCCAACTGGAAGTTTTCGGCCTTTCCCCTACGTGAAAAAATGACTTTCTGTTGTTCTTTGATCCTGAGTTGTAGAGGCAATTAACGAATCATTCAAAACAGAGGCGTAATAATCAGTGTGTTTGATCTATCTATCATTCAAGCTTGAATGTCATTCCTTTTGTGTTTCGTCGCCCAACACAATTTTTAGGCGCGCAAACTATTTTCGATCTGGCCTTCCTTTTGTGCGGTAGAGCCTTTGTAATGAATCAATTGTTTCTACGGAGATACATTTATCAAAAACAGATCTCTTTTTTTCTCTCTCTTCTTTCTAATTGTTTTGCGATGGGAAAGAACTTGAAATGAAAATAGGCTGTAAAACTGTTATTACTCTTTGTCTGTATTTTTCTTTCATGTGCCGTGTCCCTCCAGGATGTGAACGATCATGCTTCTCCACGACTTCCTGACCTTTGTAGCTCTAAGCAACGTTTACTTTTTAACTATCCTTCCCACACCCTGTTCTGATATATATATTTACACAAGCTCATTAGGTAAGTTTCCCCTTGTCACCCCTACATTCAATATGTCCCGTGAATGTCAAATTCTCCAGGCCCTCTTTCTTCATTATGGGTCCCAGAAATTTCAAATCTTTCTGTTTCTAAGTGTCCTTAATATTTCAATTTTCCTTAAAACCTCCTTTTTGCTCTACGGTATCCTCAGCATCCTTCTGTTGAATCATATCCCTTCATTTCTGAGGAAATTGCTATACAAGACTGATATTGTATAATAGTTTAGTACCATTTTCTTTGTTCATACGGAAATTTTCCTATCTCGTAATACTTTGTTTAGCTTTTGGAAGGCATCTTTCTCTATTACAATGTTAAAACACTTCCCAGATAATTAAATATCTGTATATACTTGATTCTGACATCTCCCAATGCCTTGCGCAGTTTCGCTTGCTGACAACCACAGATTCTGTCTTTCTGCAATTCATAGTTAGTCCTTTCTTTCCACTTTCCATTTATATACTTGTCATTAATCATACAATAGTGCTTTTACCTCAGGGAAGATTTCATTAATTTCTGACTTCCGACATTTCGTTCTTTCTCGGTGCTTTTTTTTTGGGGGGGGCGTCATGTTACATTGAAACATCAGTTCTCGTACGATCACCGAAGTTAAGCAACACCAAGACTTGTCAGTACATAGATGGGTGACCGCTTGAGAATAACGGATGCTGTAAGCGTGAATGGACCGGTGGTGTCCTGGATAACGTCTCGACAATAGAAATCAGAGTGCCGAGTTCAAATTCCAATCTGGTTCGTTGTATTCTCTTACGTGTAAATACCCTTGACAAAGGCATGAAACCACCTATTTGTCACCACCCAGCTATGATTTAATTAGTCAGACTTGCTAGTAAATCATTATTATCTCCCCCAAAGTTCTTACAATCTGAAAATATTGTCTAGCATTTAATAACCTGCAAAAGTTTGATAAACCGTAAAAAAAACGAATTGTTCATTTCGCGCATTATTTCGAATAATTTTTCCTTTATTATTTGCCTCATTCTTTTAAAAATAGAAAACAGTGACAATATGTGACTCGAAGGAATTGTAATTGATTTGTATATACAGGTACGAGGGGTAAATTGTTACCATTTTATATTTTTTTTAATTTCACGCATGCGCGTTGTTTGTTTTTGATTTTATCGAATGCACAGTATGATAGGGTCAGTTGGGCACCGTCTGTGAGGAGAAAAAAGAGCACCATGACACAATTCACTCCGCCAGAAATTTGGAAACGGCATGCTGTACTGCTTGGCATTCGCGACAGAAGCTCTAATACAAACAACAAACGAAATATTTCCTCTAAAAAGCCATGTTTTTGCAGCCTTCGTATTAATTTCATTTTTTTTTTCTTTTTTGTCGAATGTACATTTGAAGACGATGAAAATGACCTTGAGTAATTCAGCTGAGAAAAATGAAACTTTTTTTATTAATAATTATCTTCCATTGATAAAATATTACAAAAATGTAAAACTCTCTTACTTAATAATAATATAGTTGAGAAATGGCTATAAAAAGCACTTTTAATTATTTACGGTTAATTTATTTAAATAAGGCACTGACCATTGTTTGTGTCACGTGGCAATAATTGTAAGTAAAATGATGCACTAAAATAAGTAACCAGGTAATCCTTTTAAGTTATTCTAAATATTGGAGTTTATTATAAAGGCCAGGATTTCGAATCTTGATTGTCAACGCAATTGTCTTTCCTACTTCAAATAATGGCGCAGCACAATCTTCATCGCTTCCCAATTTGTTTTTTTGTTTTTTTTTGTCAGTACTAAAACTCATATATATGATCCCTAGACAGTGATGCTGTGAAAATAGTCGTCTCATTCTATTGCTCCCGTAAGTATCTGACTCCTTCTACCATAATTTATCGGTCCTACTATAGTATGATATCTGCCGTCCATTTTCTACTATAGTATGATATCTATTATTCATTTTCTACTATGGTATAATATTTATCAACTGTTGGAAGTATGAAATATGTTAGGGTTAAGGTTATGGTTAGGGGTTAGGGTTAAGGGCATTGGACAGTGTAGTGGTTATGTATTAAAAATCATTAACATTTTTTATACAAATTAAATTTTAAAAATCATCAAATAGTGATTTCAATGTTTGTAAAGTGACAGAGTAGAGATTGTGGCGCATGCGTGAGCAGTATAAGAACTGAATAATCCTTTATTCATATTGTAGGCACATGTTCATAAACAATAAAACTTTTATATTCCAAAGTTTTTAAGACCGAGTCTTAATGGTAATAATTAGATCAGATAATTTAAACTTTTTAAGTAGTAAATGATGAATCTGAGATATTTTTGGACTGTCGACTGTTAGATTAGGGTTAGGGGTTAGGTTTTAGGGTTAGTGTTAAAGGCATTGAATATAATCTGGCTATGTTTTAAAAATCATTAACAATTTTTTCATACAAAAACCATTTAGAAAAATCATTAAATAGTTATTTCAGTGTTTGTAAACTCATTCGATGTCCTTTAAAAAAAGTAGTAAACAGATCATCGTTTTTCCTGGGCATTTTCCAGCAACAATGAGTGCATCATCATTTACGGTAAGTCGCAAATGCCTCGATAGATATCATAATATAGAAGCACCGATTTATCTTTTACAAGAGTCAGATTAGATTAGACCAAAAATGTAGCATTGCTGCCATACCTGGGCAGGAGTTACTCACTCGACACTTTCCAATTCAAAATCGTTTGTGCGGTCTTGTGGTGGTGGTGGTGTGGGGGGGATTTAATTTCCATTCCCGCAATCTTCCAACAGGCGCAAAGTCGCAAGCTTATCACGACTCTATCGCTATTTCCATGCCAAACGTTCAAATGAGCTCCGTTCGTTAGTTCGACCTAAAACACGACATGCCACTTCCGCAGGGTCAAATCACGCACATTTCTCCCGTGTTTTGGATATAAAAAGAAAATTTCACACTTACATCTTTTTCCTATAAACTACCAGTTAATAGGTGCGTAGGTGCTTCCATTAGCACTTTCAATCGTGACCTCTTCAAGTCAGGGGTCAATCGTTATCTATCCTCCTTATCTTCATAATTTACATTTCTTACCACCTCCTCTACCATTCATAACACACATCACGTTCAGCATTACTGTCCTGACTGTAAACCTCTACCTTGAGTGACTCTCGAGCTTTGTACGGGGTGAAATTTTAGTATAAAAAAAGCTAAGCGTATTAAATATTAACAGGGATTATAACTAAATAAATCGGTGAAAGTATTTTTTGTGCCTATTTTTTTTTTTTTTTTGCAATTCGATTGCTGAAGAGAATTCTTTACCTGCACAAATAAACTGACCGCTGTGAGAAGACGGCGATAAAAACCTGCCCGAAGACTTCGTCCGTAGTTTTAAGCCAGTGTGTCGCGTTTGTAGCAATTTAAAGAATTGGCAGCATTAGCAGATTAGTCTCAATAGCCGGCCTAAATTCCTGAAACAAAAGATAATCTGCGGAGACTGACATTAGTCTTTTCTCTCTCTCTCTCTCTCTCTCTCTCTCTCTCTCTCATTCATTCGTTCTCTTTTCTCTCTCTCTATCTCTCTCTCTCATTCTCATTTCACTATCTATCTATCTATCTATCTATCCCTTCATGTCCGCCAGGTTCGATAAAAAGAGACTTACCAAAAAGAATGAGAAGAGAGACTTGAGGGCTTGATTATTCTTAATCCTGGCTTTAAATAATTGATAATAGAAAAACGATGAACGAGACAGGCAAGGGGTAATGTGACGAGAAGGGGACTTCTGGCCTTGCTCCTAGGGGCAAAATGCTTAACGCTCGGTATATAAGGAAGAGGAACGGAGTAAGTGAAGAATCTCTAGTATCATCAGCACTTGCCGGCCCCTTCTTTTATATATATATATATATATATATATATATATATATATATGGGGGTGCGTGTGGTTATATGTATACATGTATGTGGGTGTGTGTATTTCTTTTCATACCCTGTTGTCCTCACTACAGAAACACTAATCGTATCACATGGAGAGACCCATGACCGATTAGCAATGAAGAAAGAATGAAAAGGAGAAAAGAAAATAATTTCCATCCTTCGTAGTAATACACCGAAACATTTCAGTTGACTGCACCCACGGGGTTTGTTTGTGACTTCTTTTTTTTTTTAATAGGCCGTGGGTAGAAATAAATGTGGGTGTGGGTGTGGGCCGAAATTTATTGTTGGGGCTTTGAAGGTCAGCAGTGGTCAGAATGTGCTAAGTCGAGAAAGCAACACACACGCACACACACACACACACACACATTATATAAAAAAAAGACTATAGCAGTGAGCCTTTGCCGCTTGATTATTTTTTATTTCCTATATTATTATTATGCTATCAATGATGATGATAGTGATGTATTGACATGATGTTCATTTACCAACCACTGCTACTCGGACAACAAATTACTTGCGGGTATAGCTCAGTGATAATACAAATAAAAAAACGTCTGGGACTGTTCATTTTAAATAAGCACTAAAAATGGTCGAATTTAAACCGAATATCATTTTTTTTTATAATAGCCAACAGCACCAGAATGCAACAATTATTCGTGATAGAAGGATTTATTGTTATTGTATAAAATTTCAAATCCGTATCAAGGCATGAGACAGAGAGAAACAGCGATTAACCTACTTAGTTAGCGATCTTGTGCAAATGGATGACAGAATAGAGACGAGAAGTGATAGTAAAAAGTCAAAATCTTGCTAAAAACCTACAAAGGACAGGATGTTGGGGAGATTCCAACTCACGTCTTAAAGAGAGACGGCAGATAGAAGATCTGAAAACATTAAGTTGAGTGACAACAAAATCTGTAAAAAATAATAACAATTTGTTTTATTATAATTATTATTTATGAGACGTGGGAAAAACGTAGGACTGTAAATTTCTTATGGTGATGTTCTTTTATTTACTGATATTATTATTGTTGTTGATGTTGCCGTTGTTATTATTATTATCATTATTATTATTACGACTATTACTATTACTACTACTTTTCATCTCACCTTCAAAAATGTAAAATAGCTGGCGCAGTTCAGCTGTAAACTGCAACCTCAGATGTTCAGCTTATACCTTGGGGTTCTCGATTTTGATTGACTGTTTTTTTACGGCTTATCAACCTTTTGCAGGTTTTTTAAAACTATTTTATATATATTGTAAGAATTACAAGATAATAATCATTTACTGACACAAGTCTTACTAATTAATCCATAGCTAAGGGAAGAAGAGGTGAATTCATACCTTCCTCAGGGGTATTTGCGTATAAGTGATTATAAGAAGCCGACTAGAATTAGAAATTGGCTCTACAATTTCAAATTACGAGTCGTTATACATTACACCACCCGCACATTCAAACTTACAGAACCTGGTATTTCAAAGCAACCACCCATCTATGTACTTACCAGGCGTGGTGATGGTATGGCAACCGGTGTTTCAACTTGATATGGCCGTAAGCCGCGATGTTACGGGAAGACTTACCTTTTGTAGACGCCTGAAGTTGATGTTTGGTTTGCCTTTATGCAGTCGTTTATGGAAAAACTTTATAGTACATAGAACTCTGATAATTGGGATGATCAAAGTCCTCTTCAATTCACATTTCCGACCTTTATGTTTGTCCTTCCCCCTTTCAAAAACTGAAGTATCAAAAGAGTATA